GAGAGGAGAGGAGGGTACGAGGGAAGAAATAGGAATGGTATGAGAGTGAGAGAAAGGAGGGTGAGGAAGGAGGAGGAAGGAGAAGAGTTGGGAAGAAGGAGAGTGTGAGGAGGGAAGGAGGAGGGCGTCAGAGATTGTGAGGAAGGAGGGAAGGAAGGAAGGTAGGAAGGAAGGAAGGCAGGTAGGTTGCCAACTTTGGGTCACTTGCAACACTCTGGTGAGAGCAATACACACACACACACACACACACAAGAGAGAGAGAGAGAGAGAGAGAGAGAGAGAATGCAACTAAATTGCTTCTCCTGACCCGATGTAGGGAAACAGATAAAGACAGACAGACAGACAGACAGAGAGAGAGACAGGTAGACAGAGGCTATCTCGACAGCACCAGGAAGTGACCATCATCTCTGCACGACACTCCCCGGCACTGCTGCCTAGGAGGGAGGAACCATCATCCTACAGTGCCACAATGACCATGACGACAGAACCCCCCGCTGGTATTATCCCCATCATCTCCACGTTATTCTGTGTGTGTGTGTCTGTGTGTGTCTGTGTGTGTGTGTGTGTGTGTGTGTGTGTCTGTGTCTGTGTGTGTGTGTGTGTGTGTGTGTGTGTGTGTGTGTGTGTGTGTGTGTGTGTAGTCAGTAGGCGATCTGGCCACCCGTATGGGTAAAACCCAGCTGGGTGAACGTCTGGCCCCGTATGGGTAAAGGCCAGCTGGGTGAACATCTGGCCACCCGTATAGGTAAAGGCCAGCTGGGTGGTGCAATCTGGCCACCCGTATAGGTAAAGACCAGCTGGGTGAACGTCCATACCCGGCGTATAGGTAAAGGCCAGCTGGGTGAACGTCTGGCCACCCGTATAGGTAAAGGCCAGCTGGGTGAACGATCCTGGCCACCCGTATAGGTAAAGGCCAGCTGGGTGAACGACTGAACGTAACAAACTCTGTAAACACATACATGAAGGGAGTGAACGGCTCTCTGTATCAATCTAGTGAGCGAGACGGTGTTCCTGTGAGCTCGTGGGTAACATAGACGATAGCTCCTCCAAGATGATGACGTGAAGGTCGAGGATGACTTGATATTGGAGGACGACACTATGTTTAGGTTAGGTTAGGTTAGGTTAGGTTAGGTTAGGTTAAGTTAGGTTAGGTGGACTTCGCAATACTACAGGAAGATCTAAAAAAAAATTTCAAATGCTCTGAAAAATGGCAGATGAAATTTAAAGTGGACAAATGTAATGTACTTAGTCTAGGAGGTGTAAACAGGGAAACCAGATACCAGATGAACGTTGTTTTAGAGAAATCCGAATGTAAGAAAGATTTAGATGCAATGATAAGTATCAATCTTAAACCAAGACAACAATGTGTATTTGCTCGAAACAAGGCTAACAAAGTCCTTGGGTTCATACAAAGGAGTGTTAGTTACAAGACTAGCGAGGTCATCCTAAAACTATATCTTGCGTTTGTGAGACCTCACTTGGATTACGCAGAGGAGAATGACAAGACTAATCCCGGGCATCAGGAACCTTGAGTACATAGACAGGTTAAAACATCTTAATTTGCACTCCCTCGAGAGACGTAGAGCGAGGGGCGATATGATCGAAGGGTTAAACAAAAGTGATATAACAAAGGTACTCAAACTATCCAACCAGGAGCGAACTCGTAACAATGGTTTTAAATTAGACAAATTTAGATTTAGGCACGAGATAGGTAAACACTGGTTTGGAAACAGAGTAGTGGATGAGTGGGACAAGTCACCTAACCTCATCATTAACTCGAACACACTGGATAGCTTCAAACATAGGTTGGGCGGATATACGAGCACGAGCGATAGGGTTTGGGTGTAAACAGGACTGCCCAGTATGGGTCAATAGGCCGGCTGCAGATTCCTCCATTCTTATGTTCTTGTGATGAAGTGGAGGTCGAGGATGACTTATATATTGGAGGACGACACTATAGCTGATTCTCAAGTATAAACATAAGCTGTTAAGATATACCTCAGAGGATATTATAGTTTCAGTGCTCTTTTGACGTCACCATCAACACTTGTCAACATTGCTGCTATTTCCTGGTCTTATATCTATCAATAACAACATTAAAAAAAAAACATGGCGTGTGTGTGTGTGTGTGTGTGTGTGTGTGTGTGTGTGTGTGTGTGTGTGTGTGTTTTAACTCTCATTGGCACCAAAATACAATCCGTAGCTAACATAACACATCAAAATATTGTCTTTGATAAAATAGCCAGACTGTTTCGCCATCGCTCTGTTGTGAGTGTTTGGGAGGGAAGAGGACGGAGGAGGGTGGGAGAGAGAGTGGGTGGAGGGAGGGAAGGAGAAAGGCAATGGGTAGAAGGAGGATGGAGGGGGGAAGAAAGGGAAGGAAAGGGGAGTGTGAATGGAGAAGTGATCGATAGAGGGAGGAAGGAGGGGAAGGAAGAAGTGAAAATGATTAAAGGAAGAGAGAGAGAGAGAGAGAGAGAGGGGAAGGCATCAAGTAAAAATGAAGGAAGAGAGGGAGGAAGGAAGAGAGGGAGGGAAAAAGAGAGGAAGAGGGTAAATGGGGGAGTGAGTAAGCAAGACGGTGAAAGAGTAATCAAGGAAGGGAGGGAAGGGAGGGAGGGAGGGAGGGAAAGAGAGACTGAGGGAAGGGAGGGAGGTAGGAGTCACTCAGGGGCCCCCAGGGATCAAGGTAGTAGCTACTGTATTGCGTTCACCTCACAACACAACAACACCAACAACACACCCTCAACTGTTATGTAAGGTAGCAGACAAGTCCCTCACAACACAAGTTTCCTCACCATCTACCTCCTCACCTCACAATAACAACAACAACAACAACCCCTCAACTGTTATGTAAGGCAGCAGATAATTCCCTCACAACACAATCATCTTCATTATCTACTCTCTCACCTCACAATAACAACAATAACAACACACACCTCAACTGTTATGTAAGGTAGCAGACAAGTCCTCACAACACAAGTTTCCTCACCATCTACCTCCTCACCTCACAATAACAACAACAACAACAACCCCTGAACTGTTATGTAAGGCAGCAGATAATTCCCTCACAACACAATCATCTTCATTATCTACTCTCTCACCTCACACTTCATAATACAACCACCCTCACCATCTACCATCTCTCCCTCACCTCACACCTTTCAACACAATAACAACACACCCTCACCTGTCGTGTAAAGCAACAGACACGTCCCTCACAACACACCAGCTCACATCTCAATCACCCTTACCACCTGCCCCCTCACCTCACAACAGCACACCCTCAACAGCAGATAATTCCCTTACAACACCTCACACTACAACCATCCTCACCACCCATTAACTAGCGTAACAAACAACCTCCTCCTCCCCCCCACACCTCACCACCCATTAACTAGAGAGTAACAAACTATCCTCTCCACCCTCTTACTCCTTACTTCCGACATTATTCACATCACCCACCAAGGCTTCCTAACTAACCCACATTATTTTGTACCGTAAGTCAGGCCAAGAGAACACAACCTAACAACAGTATCTATCTATATTCCTGAAGTGTGATTTTATGTTTTAGGTCATAGTAATGTGTGTGTGTGTGTGTGTGTGTGTGTGTGTGTGTGTGTATGTGTGTGTGTGTGTGTGTAATTACCAGGAAGCAGGGAGGATCTACACAAAAACTCACTCACGTTAAACCCTAATTATTATTATTATTATTATTATTATTATTATTATTATCACGGTAAAGTAGGATGTAGGCTGGGCGGGGAGGAGTGAGGCGAGGCAGGTAAGGTGTAACCCCGGACAAGTGGAAGGCCGTGACCTCTGACCCCCGACTAACCATCCCGGCCACCCACTCCTGACCTCGTATATACGTCCTGGCCACACATACACATACACATACACGGGTCCTGGTGGTACTATAATTACATACACAGTGACCCGGCGGCCTTTAAAGGTGTTCAAGGGAGCCGTAATACAGTAATAATCGTCTAAGTAGTTACCTGGAATTGTGACCTTGCCAGTAGTACCCAGGAAGTCAAATCAGTCTTCCCAAAAAGGTATTATTATAATGGCGTCGAATTCTTAAGCCACCTGATTGGTTCTCGTGGTAGTATTACGTCATTATAGCCACCCCCCACACTGCTAATGAGGTAAACATCCACTTACACCTGCAGCAAAACTTAATCAGTTGTTAAAATTGGTCCTACCTCTGGGTTTTTTCTAGGGGGGGAGGGTAGAAAAAATTGCAGGTGAGAAGGTTGATTGAGAGGCGCCAGGTATAGAGGAAGACTTGTGAATTTAGAGCCCCCAGTCACGTGTGGGCTGCCTCCCTCCTCACTATACCTCACCCAGGAGCTCCTAGAGTTGTACAGGTCTCTCCTCACAGAAGAACATTGTCTTTATTGTGAAGTTACTTAGGAACAGTGTATACGTGTTCTTCTCATGGAACTTTTATAAGGGGGACTTGTTAAAACGTTGGTACTTCCCTACAAGGTAATATTGTCCCCTACAATAATCTTCGACACGTAACGAAACTTCTCCACAAGGGACGCCCCCGCCAGAAATTTGACTAGGAATTTCCACAATTCTCCCAAGTTCCTAAAACCTTTACAATACCGGAAACGTGTGTAAATAAGGGACACTAATACAACGAGAATTTTATAGCATTTTCCCAACATCTCTCTACGTCAATCTTCGTCCGTAACTAAAGTTGAGAAAACGTCAACTTTCCAATAAATTATCCTTAGAATTCATGCATGCATCAAGTATTTAAGTATTTTAATAACTCATCGAACATTTATATTAATGTTATACTTCTGTTCTGATTTCCCCATTTTCTATGATATTCAAAACCTCAATGAAAGACCACCGAAAAACAACAGTCCCACGCAAACATATATATAAAGTCATTTCTTCATTCATTATTTAAGTATGACAACCATCTCTAAAAAAAAAAGTATAGATATAATAATAATTCTCTCTTTTATTCACAGGACTGGGACTTTATAGCACCTGCCAGCACCGCCATCGCCCAACACAACACCCAGTCAGCATCACAGAAAACGGAGCCATCATCCTCTGCTTCACCACCAACTCCACCAAATCGTCATGATGCGTCTGTGCGCGTCAACACCGCCCTTCCTCCTCTACCCCCATCACTCCCTCCAGCGTCCCCTCCGTCGTCTCCCTCATCTCCTGTTTCTCCTCTTCCTATACTTCCTCACTTCCTGCAGCAATGGTGTCACAGCGCAGCCGAAAGTAAGTTTGTTGTTACTTGTGGAGGTCTGCTTGGTTGGCATTACTGGGGTGTGCATGATGAGTGTGTTTTTTGACTGTCTGATTGATTGATGGATTAAGTGATAGGATTGATGTTCATTCAGCAAATATCGGCATACAAAAGTCACACAGGGTTCAATAAGTAAACAAATGATGGTAAACAGTGAGGTGAAATTACGAGAGAGAGAGAGTATAAACAGTTAAACCTCACTACCTGGTCTTGTTCCTCCCCTCCTACAGGATGACAGGACGTACCCCTTGTTGGGCTCCATCCCCGTCACCACCTTCTCCTGCGCAGGTCACGCGGCAGGGTACTACGCCGACCCGGAGACTGGCTGCCAGGTACTACAACGACTGCCTCTAGTGGCTGCCTGGTTGAAGGAACGCCTCTATTGGGTGACTTATTACAGAATAGACCAATCACAGCCCAGGACCATATAAAAGGCTGACCAATAACAGCTCAGGGCCATATAAAATACTGACCAATCACAGCCCAGGGTCACATGCAGAACTGACCAATAGCAGTCCATGGATTAGTGAAAAACCGACCAATGACAACACAAGAGACATACATATTGAGAGAAGAGCAACCGACCAATGGCAACTTAGAGAGACGTTTTGAGAAGATCAATCGACCAATGACAACACAGAGACTATCAGAGATGGACAGATAGGAAATACCTTATCTCACTCTAACGAGACACTTGGGAGACATCTCTCAGACGACCTAACGAATGCTAAGTATCGTACGACAAAATGTATTCCTTACTAATTATTATTTTTTCAGGTAAATAAGATCACCTGAAGATTCACCCCCAGCATATTTCACCTGAAGATTAACCTAACCTAACCTAACCTAATGTACCTTAACCTTATGCTAATCTAAACCACCCAAACACTAACCTTATTTAACCTAACATAACGCTAATCTACCCTAAAATAATCGTACCTAGCTAACCTCACTCACCACCTGATGCTGACTTAACCTAACCCCTAAGGTAAGCATTAGGGTGTTTTATCATCAGGTGAAATAAACTAGGGTGGCTAATCTTCAGGTGATCCAAATAAAGATTAACCAGGAACATGTAAAGATAATAATAATTCGGTACATAAAAATTGTATTTAGTATTTTCAGATTTTTCTTTATTTTTTTTAACTTTAGATTTAGTGATTATAATTAACTAGTATTAACCCTCTGAGGAAGATGATGGCTTAACCCTTTGAGGAAGATGGTTTAACCCCTTAAGGATGATGATTTTAAACCCTTTGAGAACGATGGTTTAACCCCTTAAGGACGATGATTTAAACCCTTTGAGAACGATGGTTTAACCCCTTAAGGACGATGATTTTAACCCTTTGAGAACGATGGTTTAACCCCTAAGGACGATGATTTAAACCCTTTGAGAACGATGGTTTAACCTCTTAAGGACAGTAGTTTAACCTTCCAGGACTCAAAGGGTTAATTAACAAGTATCTAATGAACTAGTATTAAATGGTGTCATAATACTGAAGTGTCAAGTGTCATTAACATCACAGTTCCTAGTGTCACATATACTATGGAATTCCTTGCATCATTATCACCGCTAGTGTCATATTATTACCACTAGTGTTATGATATGACTCTCAGTGTCATAATATTGCTCTTAGTGTTATAACATTACCCCTAGTGTCATATTACCCTTAGTGTCATATTACCCTTAGTGTCACATTACCCTTAGTGTCACATTACCCTTAGTGTCACATTACCCTTAGTGTCATATTACCCTTAGTGTCATATTACCCTTAGTGTCATATTACCCTTAGTGTCATGTTACCCTTAGTGTCATATTACTCTGTCATATTACCCTTAGTGTCATATTACCCTTAGTGTCACATTACCCTTAGTGTCACATTAACCTTAGTGTCATATTACCCTTAGTGTCATATTACCCTTAGTGTCACATTACCCTTAGTGTCATATTACCCTTAGTGTCACATTACCCTTAGTGTCATATTACCCTTAGTGTCATATTACCCTTAGTGTCATATTACCCTTAGTGTCATATTACCTCATATTATGTACATATTAGTGTCATATTTAGTGTCCCTTAGTGTCATATTCTTAGTGTCATATTACCCTTAGTGTCATATTACCCTTAGTGTCATATTACCCTTAGTGTCATATTACCCTTAGTGTCATATTACCCTTAGTGTCACATTACCCTTAGTGTCATATTACTCTTAGTGTCATATTACCCCTAGTGTCATATTACCCCTAGTGTCATATTACCCTTAGTGTCATATTACCCTTAGTGTCATATTACCCTTAGTGTCACATTACCCTTAGTGTCATATTACCACTAGTGTCATATTACCCCTAGTGTCATATTACCCTTAGTGTCATATTACCCCTAGTGTCATATTACCCTTAGTGTCATATTACCCTTAGTGTCATATTACCCTTAGTGTCATATTACCCTTAGTGTCATATTACCCCTAGTGTCATATAACCCCTAGTGTCATATTACCCCTAGTGTCATATAACCCCTAGTGTCATATATAATTCATTGTGTCACATTACCACCGCTAGTGATAATATTCCTCTTAGTGTCACATATAATTCTTAGTGTCCTATCACCGCTAGTCATAATATTACTCATGGTGTTATAATACCCCTATTGTGTCATAATATTACCCCCAGTGTCATTTTATTACCCCCAGTGTCATTTAATTACCCCTAGTGTCATAATATTACCCCAGTACCACTTTATCACCTCGAGTGTCATATTATCACCCCTAGTGTAATAATATTACCCTTAAGTGTCATAATGACACTAGGGGTGATGACACTGGGTTAATATTATGACACCAGGAATTATAATATGACACTAGAGGTAATATGACACTCGGGGTAGATACCAGGGATAATACAGTATGACACTGGGGGCAATAATATGACACTAGGGGTGATAATATGATCCTGGGGTAATAATATGACACCAGGGATAATATTATGACACCAAGGGGTGATAATATGAACCTAGGGATATGACACTAGGGCCTAGTGTCATATTACCCAGTGTCACATTATCACCCCTTTGTCATATTACCACTAGTGTCATATTATCACCCCTTAGTGTCATATTATTATCCCTAGTGTCACATTATCACCCCTTAGTGTTATAATATTACCCCTAGTGTCACATTATCACCCCTTTGTGTCATATTATCCCTAGTGTCATATTATCACCCCTCAGTGTCATATTACCCCTTGTATCATATACCATATTTTTTAGCGCCATATTACCACTCCTAGTGTCATATTATTACCCATAGTATCATATTACCTTTAATGTCATAATATTAGTGTCAATATTATCCCAAGTGTCATATTATTATCGATGGTGTCGTAATATTACCCCTCGTATCGTATTACCACCCCTTAGTGTCATATATCATAATTCCTAGTGTCATACCCATCGTGTCACATCACACCCTCCCTCCCTCTCTCTCGTGTCACAACTCAACATCACTAGTGTCACTCCCATACGCATGTGTCAACAGGTGTACCACATGTGTGACACCCGGGAGAAGCAGTACTCGTACCTGTGTCCCAACCACACCCTCTTCAACCAGAAGTTCATGGTGTGTGACCACTGGTATATGGTCAACTGCTCGTCCTCCCAGGAGTTCTACGACCTTAACCACCACATAGGAGAAGGTGATTCTATCCCTCCAGTTCTTGTTCTTCTCTAGTATTCCTTGTTCTCTTGTTCTTTTGTTCTCAGGTTGTGCCACATTTTTTCTCTTACTTCGTTCTCTTGTTATTTTTGTTAGGCCTTACTTGTTCTCTAACCATTACCTCCTGTTATCTACTAAACCACGTTTGTTCTCTTACCTCCTCCACTTGTTCTTTGCTGTGCCTAGTTCTTTTGTTCTCTGTCGTTACATTTGTTCTCTACGACATTCAATCACCATATAACTGGGAAGGTAAATATACCCCTCCTGTTATTGTTCTGTTGTTGTTCTTCTCTAGCCTCCTTGTTCTCTTGTTGTGCCATACTTGTTCTCTAACCATCACCTTCTGTTATCTACTGAGCCACATTTCTTCTCAAACTTTCTCCTCTTGTTCTCTTCTAAACCACATTTATTCTCTAACCTCTCCTTCTTCTTCTTCTCTCTTGTGTTGTTAATGTCCACTGCTATGGTAACACTGTACATGTCAACTGAACTGTATCAACCTACATCCACGCTTCATCTTTTTGGGAGGCCCTCAAAGACGACTATAAAATCTATCTCTCTCTCTCTCTCTCTCTTTTACACATGAGGATTATTCGTAACAAACGGCCATTAAAATCTTTCATGCTCTACAAAGGTACTCCTTAAAAAAATTCACAATTTATCAATGTCAAAAGAACATCTAATACTATGCTTAAACCTTTTCTTTAAATATTTATTAATACATTCGCAATATTTCACTTTATATCTATTTATACCTTATCTATCAAAATGTCTTTATCTAATATCCACAATAGAATCTTTTCGTATTTTTCTTGGTATTGTATGCAAATTAATATATCACAACAGTATACTTTATTTATCATACTAAAGTACTAAAAAAAAACTACATATTTTCTCATTTGTTTTGATCGGTTATACAAATGAACATCTTAGGTCGCTTAATTATCTAAAACATTACTCTTTCTCTCTCCCCTTTGTGTGTTGACAGTGGGAGGCGGGAGCGGTACTGGCGCCAACTCTATCCATCCGGATGGTGGTGGTGAGGACAGTGAGACGAGGGAAACTACCAAGGATCCTCCCAAGACCTCCTTCACCTACAAGTTTCCTTCATTACTACCTGCCTCACCCAAGCCTCTCCTTGTCCCCTTCACCCAGAGGCCCGTCACTACAGCGAGACCCTTCACTCGGATACCATTCACTACAGCGAAACCCTTCACTCAGAGGCCCATCACTACAGCGAGACCCTTCACTCGGATACCATTCACTACAGCGAGACCCTTCACTCAGAGGCCCATCACTACAGCGAGACCCTTCACTCAGAGGCCCATCACTACAGAAAGATCCTTCACTACAGAGAAACCCTTCACTACAGAAAGATCCTTCACTCAGAGATCCTTCACTCAGAGATCCTTCACTCAGAGGCCCGTCACTACAGTAATACCCTTCACTGAGAGGCCCATCACTACAGTAATACCCTTCACTAGGAGGCCCATCACTACAATAATACCCTTCACTCAGAGGCCCATCACTACAGGGAGACCCTTCACTCAGAGGCCCATCACTACAGAAAAACCCTTCACTCAGAGACCCATCACTACAGAAAGACCGTTCAGTCAGAGGCCCATCACTACAAAAAGACCCTTCAGTCAGAGGCCCATCACTACAGAAAGACCCTTCAGTCAGGGGCCCATCACTACAGAAAGACCCTTCAGTCAGAGGCCCATCACTACAGAAAGACCCTTCAGTCAGAGGCCCATCACTACAGAAAGACCCTTCAGTCAAAGGCCCATCACTACAGAAAGACCCTTCAGTCAAAGGCCCATCACTACAGAAAGACCCTTCAGTCAGAGACCCATCACGACAGAAAGACCCTTTACTCTAGGCGTCACACCTCGGGGTCTGCTGATACCCGTCACTACACCATCACGTTTCTTCTCTCTTCCAAACACCGTGCCTCATACAAGCCCAAAGCCAAGCCTCCTGAGACCCGTCAACACCCGCCGGACCATCAACCCAGATCCAGGAATTGGTGTGAGACTTACTGCCACTCAGACAAGTTTAAACGCTTCTTCCAATACAGTGAACGCCACCGACACTCGTTCTCCTCTCCAAGGAAAACCCGACCTAAAATTTGATATACCATTCGTGCAGACACCCCGCCCTGGCCTCCCGTTCACTATGATGCCAAGCAGTGTTGCTCGACGACCCGGTAACACGTTTGTGTTTACGAGTAACAGTGACGAGAAGACTGACATCAATCCCATAGATTTCCAAAGTATTATCTTCCGGCCAGTCGTGATGCGTCCTCCCAGCAAAACACGGACGATCTTAACCAGTTCTCCTTCAGCAGATGTTCTGAAGCTGCATCACCCGCCAGCTACCCAGACGGATCAAGCCACACAACACTCTACACACACCGCCTTCGCTATGCCTCTAGCACCAAACACCTCACCATCCCAAGGTTCCTCCTCTGATTCAAGTTTCCCGACAACACCCCAAAAGATTAGAATTCCCAGCATCTTCCTGCAGCCTCCACTTTTCCAATCCACTTCCTTCAACCTTGCTCCCTTCCTTCCTCCTCCCAGTCAATCTACCAGCATTATCAGACACGTTAAGCAGGAGTTCCCAACGATTCTGTCAACTCCTGTCAGGAATACTAACTCGCGTATCCACGTATCCGATCAAGTCATACCGGGAATGATGCACTTACAGTTCTCCTCCTCCCGTGGCAATAGAGACTTCTTCATACCAACAGTAGGACTCTCCCTGCCTGCACAAGACCTTTCTGAGGTTGACCAAAACACCCTGGGAGAAGATTCAGATAATCCGGATACAGATGATCACCATCACCACGGAGACGACGGGTCCCACATGACAATGGTGTTCCCAGCGCCATTAGAGGAGAGGATGGAAGAGTTGCAACTCAACCCAGAGTGTCCACGATGCCACCCAGTGTTCCTCAGGCCTGGCGAGTGTCACCCATGTGTCCTCATTAAATAATAAAAAATAATAATACTGTACGTAATTTCATCATACGAGAATACTGATAAAGCGTGACATAACCACACTGCACTACAAAACCATCGCATCAACCCAAATCTCCTTTGTTGCGTGAATCATCAGCCTCTTGTGAGTACCAAGGCTTGTGCTTCCTGTGGGTGTGCAACCAACCATTACACAAATTCACCCAGCGAAAAAGGTTATATCATCCCAGATAACCATTATAAATGTGTTTCTTACTTTGATATTTAAGAACTGGTAGTACCGGGTAATTATAAATGTTTATTACAATGATTGAATGAAATACACAAATGCAGCAAATCAAAACGTCAACTAAACTAGAAAAGTGTTCCCAGTAACCTCATCATCTTGGTTGCCACTAAGGAAACCAACAATAAATATAATAATAATAAATGTATGTCTACAATAATATTACAGGAGAAAAGAGATCTCTTCACTCGTCTGTTAAATATCCCACGATAAAAAAACACGGCAACTGACTAAAGTGCTGTTTTTTTATGGTGATTGAAAAGTAATATTGAAATACGAGAAATACGAGAAAAATATTGATATTCAGCTAGCTTTCTTAGACAATGTCAAATCCATAATGAATCTTAAACTACAATATAATTTTTAACCAATTTTGGCACAACCTTATAAACAAGAACTGTTACACCGCACTCATAACAAATTTGTACCCTAGTCAACACAACCAACATTCTCCATTACATAAAAATCAACGAGGTCAAAAATGTATTAAAAGGGTCTATTTTTTTACTGAGTATACTTACCAACATGTTTAATACAGTCTGAAAATAAGGTGAAACGGCAAGGAAAAAAACGAATTGGAACTTGCAAAAACCCAGTGTTAAGTCTTCAAAGGATGCCAAATTATTACTGACAGCAAACACAACAAAAACTAACCCAGGACTAATTGGTTAGGTTAGGCTAGGTTGGTTGGTTTGTGAGGTTAGGTTAGGCTAGGTTGGTTTGTGAGGTTAGGTTAGGCTAGGTTGGTTTGTGAGGTTTAGGCTAGGTTGGTTTGTGAGGTTAGGTTAGGCTAGGTTGGTTTGTGAAGTTTAGGCTAGGTTGGTTTGTGAGGTTAGGTTAGGCTAGGTTGGTTTGTGAGGTTTGGTTAGGTTAGATTGGTTGGGGAGATCTGGTCAGAAATAGTTTAGTATTATACCGAGTCAACAACAACCTACCTACAAACACATGATAATAGATAAAATCACTAACTTTTTCTCTCACCTCGCCTAATTTACTTCCTGTATCATACAACACAAAAAGATGAAAATTCCCTTTATAAAATCCTCATCAATAATATGGCGATCCTTTCCTACACAAATACCAAAGTGACCGTTGTATAATCAACTTGTGATACTTCCACCGTGAAAGTCATACGATAGTGTTATATTCTATTTACATAAACACCACAGTATTTGACTACTCTAACGTTACAGAAGTAATCATCAATATGTGGTTCATACGTACAAGTATTTCCCTTATTAACATCTAAAATGGCAGTTACTTGACGAATATTAACACCCAGAACTAAGCCTTAATAACTTTCTTGTTGGTGTAGTACAAAATAAGGCTCTAGGTAAAAACTGATTTGACCTTACGTAATGTTGGTAATAATTATAAAAAAAATTCCCGAAAAAAATGTCACTTCAAAATCCACATCATATATGACACGTACGGCTGTAGGAAGACAAACATCTAATTCCAAACTAATTGACATATATACAGGTATCTCACGATATACAGGTGTATAATATTAATTACTGTACATACCTGCTGTTGTGATCATGGAAGACACACCATTCCTTAGTCATCTGCTGCTATAGTTCTTGATGTACACCGTATATGAGTTCTTCTTTCTCATATATACTCATATAGTATACAGTTGGATTATATCACTATACAGAAGCACTTTAGCGACACGTACACAGAATTAGCCTCACCTGTGTTGTATTGTAATTAGCCAGTGTTTGGCTTTTGTGATCCATGATGTTAAAAACCACTTTGCAAATTCCATTTTACCATCACAGTCAAAGTATAATCTTTCAGCTATAGTTACAAAAGGTGACAATATATGCCTCATTATTATGTTTTTCTTTAATATTACCAAGAATCGCCATCTTGGGGGTAAATTTTCGGTATTACAGTTACTTGTTGCCACAACACGAATCGCGGGAATTTTATAGTTGTAATCGGTAATTTTGAAAATTCTAGGACCCTTTTTCTCAATGGCATTTCTGGCGCAAATTACGCATAAGCAAGACATTTAATATATTATTATGTATGAAAATTTACCTTTCATTTGTTGCCAATACACGAATCTCGTGAATTTTATATTTGCAATCGGCAATTTTGACAATTTTAAGACACTTTTCTTCAACGGCATTTCTGGCGCCAATTACGTTTAAGCGAGATATTTAACATTTTATAATGTATGTTCGTACTTGGCGGTACACACCCAGAACATCGAACGACTATGAGCTCCCCAGTTAGGTTAGGTTGGTTAGGGTTTTGTTTTTTCGATGGTTTTTCGATGTTTTGAACACTTTAATTTTTATCGCAAATCTCTAGATTATGATATGAAACTATTGATTTGCACCAGAAATGAAGGTAAAACTGCTTCACAACACATCAAAAACCCATCGGAAAATAGTTCCAACTTCGATTTCGTAATGGCAACAAGTTAAATTTTACCAAATTTTCATTATCACTAATTTTTGCTTTGAAATCATGGGTAAATCCTTCGTTGTTGTAAGTAAGTCTGTTGTGACCACTGTAGTTTTACTGAGTTAGCGGAATAATAATGAAGAATAAAGTTTAAACAGTAAATTCTTAAATTATCAAAACGAAGAGTAACAATTCAGTCGTGATGTTTGTCTGTATATATTCCCTCTTTTTGAGTTCAGAGTATTTTTCAAAAAATTATATGCTATTGTCCTCTATACATACTTGTCTGCAGTTCGTCACTTTGAAAAATAACGGCAAAAGTGGACATATAAGTTATCTGTACCTTTAAAATCACCAGTGTTCTGGTCAAGTCTTACAAGACTTTTAACTCTTGTCAACAATCGTGCACCTGTCACTCGTTGTTAAAAAATATTTCTTAACTCATTAAAATAGCTTTATTTTTTAACACCATGCAGCTTATTAAATTCCATATTGTGTTTTTCTTCAGTAAGGGAACTTTCAAATACCTTACAGATTATTAATAGTTGGTTATCCTTGGTGACATTCATTTCTTCACAAAACACAAACGCTTTGCTTAATCTAATTTCCTTTATCAATAATTTCTTTGCTTCCGAATTCAATCAAAAGTAATTCAAAGTTAAGTTAGTTAATATCTTTTTTCTTATAATGTTTCTGGGCGTGTTTAACAGAAAAATGGTTCCAAGCCGGCATACAGTACACATACGCAGTAGGTATGCATTGCCGGATAACTGATCTGATCAATTCACTAATACTGTAACTTGATACAGTATATTAAAAATATATATATTTTAGACATATTAATGCATAAATCTCAAGACTATGAATTTTTTATAAGATTATGGAGTCTTTAATCTCCACAAGGAATTGTATCACAAAAGCTCATTAACTACAGGGTATACTGTACTGTAGAGTAATAATGGTACAGTGTATGTATCCTGTTGCCCGTGTATAAGAAACGGGCAGCCTCTGATAGATTATAGCATTTTATTAGCTATTAGACTAATTAATGAAAAATGTGGTTGCATTTCACTGGCACAAAGCAAAATGAAGGACTTTAATTCTGTGATAGTAAGAGGGTACTAGTGTAAGAAGCACATGCCTTGTACACCTTACCTGGTGCACCGCTAAACTCACGCCAGACAGATCTAAGGTAATTTTTTTTGTGTGGGAGGTTCAGGCTGTTAATGTGATGGTTTTATGTTATTTTGATTCGCATATAAACACTCGTTCTTTACTGACCCCTTGAGTACAATGACAGCCTCTTGAGTATGATGGCAACCCCATGAGTATCATGACAACCTCAAGAGTATCATGCCAACATCATTAGTACAGTATCATCTTATTCAAGGGATTGGTCATTTTATTCAGTGGGTTAAGGCATCATACCCAAGGGATTAGGTCCTTGAACTAAGAGGGTAAGACATTGTAATCAAGGGGTTCACTTATCTTCCTCAATGGGCTAATCTCTCGCACTCAAATACCATCTTCAGTTTACCAAGTAGTGAAAGTTGGAATAATGAATTAATAATTATATATATATATACCTCTGTATATACATGTATATGATTACATTACTGTTTTCCCTTACGGTTTTGTGATAAACTTTAAGATGATACTTACTGGTGTTCTATTGGTTTCTTTATCATTATTTTCTTTATATATATAATGCAAGTAAAACCCATTAATGTTGTGCAATTCACTAGTCTTTAAAATAATGCTTCAATTTGGTTTTCAAAACAGCAAATACTAATGTTACTACAAAAACTGTATGCTTAGCAACATTATGTGAACAAGTATGTTTTGTAGGGGAGAAAGAACACATTCCTTGAACTATTAAATGTACCCATAAATAAAAGGCAAAAATGCCTTAGTAAACACTGTAAGTCTATACGGTACATTACAATGTGTGGAAGAGTCTGGGAGACAGACCAAGGAAAATGTAACAAATTTCCTCTTATCTGAAGAGCTCTCCTAAGAAACTGGCTGTAGATAAATGCTAAACAAAATTGTCAATGTATGGTAATGGAATCACAGACGATTGCCATTTAAATAGTGAATGATTATAACTACTGTACAGCATTTGACTCACTTACAGTATAGTATACAAGCTATCACAAAATGCCCATATCAAAAAATTAAGGAATAAGAAATTTACATGTACTGTACTGTACTATACCTGTAAATCAACTGCACTTGCCAATATCTTTAATATTAAAAATTCACCTCAGGAGTGTTTAAACTTTTCACAGTGACAGAAGTACTGTAATGATTGGGCCACAGCAACAAACTGACAGCCATTTAACACATCAAAGTCCAACTCTTGGCAAATGTTGGTGGCAAGTGATGATCCATTCTTAATTCTACGACTGGATATGACTTAAAAAAACAAATCTGCATAACTTGCTTTTTGTTTTCAAGAAATTAGTCCAATTTATCCAATTTTGAGTCTATTGTGAGAGAATAAACCTGTTCTTTAAACTATGCTTCCATCAAATGAAAAAAAAAAGGGTGAGGGAACTTTCCTTGTGGTGTGAAGCTTCTTAATTATTATGTGATTACATATATACATTGTTGACGATGTTAAGCTCAATCCTCCCCAAAAAGTAATTACTTTGTATTCTTTATTACTTTTAAGAATATGTCATGCTTGTAGTCATTCTCATATTGATGGCTGACAAGTTCTATGCATGAAATCATTCTCTTAGTTACCAGTTACTGTAGTATAAGTATACTAAATAGTCCTCTTTTTGTACATGTAGTCTAGTAGATATGAGTATTATAGAAGCATTGGTATAAAAAAGTAACAAAATTATTAAAAGGATGTGCAGGTCACATCAATCATAGGTTTAGCAGAGGAGTGTAATGTTAAGTTAACTATATAAAAAAAAAATAATTATCCAAGACACCCAGTGAAAAGCATCCAGGTACCATAATATGCTCTGTTAAGTGCCGGCTGTTGTGCTCTAAAGCTATACTATTTACGTTATCACTGAGAACATGGATGCTGTTTATGTGTTTATCAGGGAGTGAAATCATGCACAATAAACCTGATGTCAGATATTGAAGGGGTCTGGTCAGGGAGGTCAAAGATGGCATGAATTATGTTTTTAGAGCGCACACACACATACATGTACGCAGACCACTCACACACACATATATACACAAACATACCACACAAAAACAAACACATAAACTACACACACAACACATAAAATACACCACACACAAACACACCACAAAAACACAACTCAAAACATACCCCAGTATTTTAGAACCCTAAATATGACCCCTTAATAAACAACTGAATCACTAAACCTGATTCTCTCTGCCCAACACAAAATAAACACTCAATATCGATAAATAACTTCATATATGTAACATTACAGTGCATTAGGTTTTGGGTACAAATTGTTAGTAGATACACAGAGAATTAATGGATAAAAGAGGGGTGTAACTTGTAAAGGATTAAATCATTCTTGATGCTTCAGAGTCCAATGGATGTTCTCTCATTTTTACACCATTAAGAATTACAGTACTGTATCTATATTTTGTTGTTACATACATTTACCTCAACAAAATCATTAAGGTATTTAAAGACTGTAACATGTATATCCAATTCAATAAATTACATACAAATAACAAAAAAGGTAATTATAAAAATTGTCAAGGCATATAATTAAGATGGCTTATGTACAGCTTATACATATACAGTACAGTACTGAAGAACTAGTTACAGTACTTTCTCCTGTATTGATGAATGTAATCAATGGTGGTTTAATCAACACCACAACCATGCTTGCTTTAACCTATAAATGCAGTGCCGAGAATTATGTAACTTCACCAACAATAACTGTCTAAAATAAATAAATAATGTATTACACACCAAACAATGGATGAGTGAACATTACATTATTACATCAGAGTTTGATATTGTGTGTGTGAGTGTGTGTGTGAGTGTGTGTGTGTGTGTGTGTGTGTGTGTGTGTGTGTGTGTGGTGTGGTGTGTGTTTATGTGTATATGTGTGTGTGGACTGAGGCACTGATGGTAGTTTTGTCAATATCATTTTCACTTTACCTTGTATCATACAATAGTTCAGAAGTGTCTAGTGTTGCAAATGAAATTGTATTTGAAAATTCTTGAAAAAATAAGTTTTAATAATACACGAGCTAACTTTAAATGTGGATTTTTATTTAACCTAAAAAAAATCCCATTTGGTGAAAGATGGAGGGATTAACCCTTAAAAAAATATCCATTATCTGTGTGTGAAACTTAGCTGAAGGGACAGCAGTCATCATCAAAGGAATTCTCATGTTCATTGCCTTCCATTCTTAAATACGGTATATGGGAAGGAAATGGGGAAACCTTAGCTGCCAATTACGTTTAAAGAGCAGGACATATTCTTCCATAATTTACTGACAATTATTCTCTCTAGCAGCTGTTCCCCCCATTGACTACACAGCTCCAAGATTTCCACGTGGCTCCTCTTTTCACTCTGTACAACCCAAAATCATCTCTCGGCAGTAAGTTTACACCCATAATCACTCAACACTGCGCACTCCCATTGTCGATTTATACCTCAGCATATCTCTGTAGCAAGTAGGACAGCAGATATCAAAGGGTAAGCAGAAGCAGGTAGGAGTCAGCCTCTTGCCAGCATCACTTCTACAACACTCCTACACAATTTTGCAAATAGACAGCAGCTAGTATCTGGTTGCCCAACCGTCTGCTGATGAATACTGTACTGTGTAATGATGATATGTGATGTGTTCACTCCACCACTGCCTGAATGTATGACAGTGTGCAGTATATCACGAACATTTCATACACACTCCCCCACACACCACTAACACTTCATACTGTACACACCACAGTTCTTTTGCTACAAGCATAGAATATGTGTATTAAAAGCAAAGACATATAAATAATTTGTATTCATTTATTACACTGTACACCCTAAAAAAAAATATATACTGTACTTTACTCACATATGAACATGAATCTTTTAGCTACACATGGGATTAATTCAGAAATGTAATAATTTATACATATAATTATCTATGCAATGCAGAACACACAACAACTGCAGATAAATTTTCCCTTCCTGTCTCGACTCATAAAGCTTCTTCTCCAACCAACAAGAAAGATATTTTTACACAACACAGCGCGTGAGCTTCCCACCTCCATAGTTAACACTGTGATTCAAGTTAGCTTTTAAAATATTGGATCTTTAATGAACTGAACAGGTACAAAACAAGCTTCACTAGGCAATGATGTATAATAAACTTGTATAATAATGCCTTGTTAAATAAATGACAAGTGCTAATAGTGATATATAAGTTTAATGTTTTAAACTGTATAAGCCTTAACACCCACAGAGGAAATAAAAACAGTAAAACCTCCATTGACCAGACACCAATCTAACAGGTATACAGTACTGTATACTGTATATAATCCGTTACGTGGAAGTCTCATATCTAATGGAACTCGAGATAATGGACTGTACTCTCCAATATAGTCTGTAACATGTTTGTTTTTTTTAATGGACCTCAATATAGTGGACTGCACTCTCTCATATACTGTACTCCATTAAATAGAAGTTTCAGTGTATGTAACATTCCTCTATCAAAAGTTAAATATTCTGAACTTAAATCAATAAATGTACCTTATTTAAGCTTCCCATATTTGTTCTCCATGACCGAGACTGTTCATTAATGGCTAAGGATGTGTCTGCCCTTCAGTAATCTTCTCATCAGAATTTTCCGGCCGGCTGGTGTGGACATGCGGACCTTCCAACCGTGACGAGAGATGCGCCTCTTCTCACTAGGCCGGGGGAAGTGGTTCCTCACATTAGTTCGACCAATCACACCTGTGGAATAGTTTTACCATAAATCACTAGAAACAAATAAGTTAATAAGGTCACAATCGGAAAAACATATTTCTAACACCGAGAAATATAACGGTGGGTAAAGGTTAAGTTTCGTACCATAATCATTCTGGAGATGAAGCCTAGGTTTTTCCGATGGTTTTTCATGTGTTTTAACTGCTTTTGATATTGATTTTCGTAGGAAATCACTCGTTTTTTAGATAGCCCCCCCCCCTCACCGCTAACAGCCAAAATGAGCAATTTCCTACAAAAATCAATATCAAAAGCAGTTAAAACACATGAAAAACCATCGGAAAAACATAGGCTTCATCTCCAGAATGATTTTAAGACCTAACCTAACTTAAGCAGAGACATCACGGTCGACACGCTAACTTGGACAAAGAGCGACCTGTGTACAGCGACCTGTGTACAGGGGTAAGATGAAGAATAAAAATTTTTTAAGGTAAACACATCCCATACATCGGTTATTATTAATTTGCTGTGGAAATGCCATAGAAGAAACGTCGCCAATCTGACGAGTTCGACCTAAACAAAAACACATCAAAATAATTTCAGCTAATTTTGGTGAGAAACTTAACCCTTTCACCATCTGTCACGAGCTTGTTATTTTATTCAGACTACAGCCAGAGGAGTTCATTCAGCTTAGGGTAACCTCCCGTAGTGAAGGGGTTAAGACCTATCTCCATTAAATAACACAGAAAGGTGCACTAATATAAAAAGACCAAAGTAACGGTACACTATTATTAATTAACCTATATACCTTCCTGCCAGACTTACCTGAAGATGGTAGAGGAAGAGCTAACAAGCCCTGGGAGGAGGACCCGGTGAGGCCAAACACAGGTGTGGGCGTGGTGGTGAGGGCGTGGGGTACCTGTGGGCGTGTGAATAATGTCCTCCACGATCCTAACATCACACCAGACACCGATGGCACCCTTAACATAGATAATAATGAGGACATCTTGGAGTAACTGTCTCTCTCCCGTGTTATCTCCACCAAAGATTATTATTAACCTTTTTACCCTATATGATAATTATTTCGCCTGTATTTCTAGTTAAAAATACGTAAAATTAAAAACAAATATTTTATAATTTACTCGTAATATATTTATAAGAGCTATTAGTGAAAAATCTTAAACTCATATTAAATATAAAGGAATTATTTCTTACTTAACAAATAATTTATATTTTTATAGCTTTAAAAATACATATAATTTATTAGTATCTTATTTATGTTATTATTTACGCGTAATATCTCAATAGGAATTGGTTAATGAAATAAATAATGTGGTTAAGTTAACTCCCACCAGCTGGAGGAGCCATGGGTGTCATAGTGTTTCCTTCTGTAACATCATCCCAGGAGTTAATAATGTACATATATATTGAAAGTTTAAACACATTGGTGGGTTTGTATGTTGGTTTATGTAAGAATAGTCCGAGAAATTAATTGAAAATGGCTTAGGGGGGGGGGGCTAAATTATAATAATAATAACAATAGAAATAATAATCATCATAATAATCATTATTGTTACCGGTATTCATAGGAAATTAACTTTATAATAAAATAAAAACATTGGAAAAAAAAATAATATATTGATTTATTTTTTTATGATTTTATTTATTAATTTATTCAGTCAACAGGAGTATTAGATGATATACCTCTATGTTTATTTTGGATGATGTTACAGTATTTTATTTTCATCTAGTTAATTCTACATGAAGATTAACCACCCTAATGCTAATCTAATCTAACCTAACCTAACCCTTAAAGTAGAATCAGGGTGTTTAATCTGAAGGTGAAATATGTTGGGATAGAGAATCTTCAGGTGATCCTTAAAATGATAAGTGTTTTACTAATCTACAGTCCTCTCCTCAGATTGGGTGTTAATCGGCATAATGCAACCAAAGGCTCCATGACCTACTGTCATCTGAAAGGAAAAAAGTTTATAAATAAATGAATTTAACATAATTTAATCAGGAGACAAGATAAGGAAACACACTGGGCTAAAGACATACACTCCTCTCCCTTAGAAGATGTGATGGCCTCTCTCAAATTCTTAGGCTTTCATTTATTGTATATGCAGTTTACATGAAGGCTTTACTGATGCACTGTTACTTGGCTGGATAGTTTTATCTCCTCTGTTGTGTGTAAGAGTCATTCAGTTGTAATAAGGAGGGCCACAAGACTGGTGCCTGCACTACTGGCACCTTAGTTACTCGAGAGATGAGAAGGCCTGTAGTTGCCCAGCTTTTAGACGAGCAAGGGATGACTTATAAAAATCTATAAACACCTCCGAGGATATAACTCAGTCGAGTGTTCATATCTGAAGCTGGCGGACGCCCCGCCCTTGGAGGGATCACAGCTCATGGCTGAAGAAGCCACACATTCAGGAAACTGTCATGGCATACTTTTTTTGAGTGAGAATTATAAACTCTTGGAACAATTTGCCAGAGAGATTTGTGACGGCACCAAGTGAGAGCTCCTTCAAGACCAGATTTAACCAACACAGGCACAGGTACAGAAACAGTCAGGAGCCACTGCATGCCCAGTACTTGCAAACAGTGCCAATCACCCAAGCGGCTAACGAGCCGATCGGTGGTGAAGATGATAAGAGGAAAGGATAAAGTAATATGCAGTAATACTCTATAAGACAAGATGACAATGCCACAGGAACCCATCAAACTTATATGTGTAATTTGTAAAACAACTTCTCCCTCTGTTGATTCTTGGAGGAAAATTAATTCTATCTCTGGCAGGAAGAAAAACCTGTCAAATTTAATCTTTAAATATGGTGAAGTGAAAGTCATCAAAGGTGTTATGTGTAATAAATGTGAGAGACGACTGTTAAGTATTGATGATTATGTTTCTGAGTTCCGGGAAACTTGTCAGAATAATCTTCATCTGTTAGACAACAAGTGTTTTTCCCAGACTAGTAACAAATACACACAAGATAAAGACAATGAGAGCAACCCTGCAGGTACAGTACAAAACAGCAAGTGTGTGAAAGTGCAATTCTTTAAGGCACCATTTTCCACTAAACAACAAATTAAAACAGATGTGTCCACACCAGAAAACTTCCCGATCCCTCTCGCTCAAGTTCTGCCGAAGAAGGACATCAGTTTGTTACCTTTAAACTATAAGGTTCCAAAGACCTCAGAACCTGGACCAACACACATTTCGGATTCAGATCATACATATTCACAAGAGTTATACCAAGAGACAGAAGCCACAGCCAAAAAAATAAAGTTGGAAAGTGTTGTTGAAGAGGGAAAAGCCATTAAGTGTTTATCCCAACTCTTACACTGCCAACAGCCAGACAGCGACCAGATGACCACCAGCGAATGTGAGAAAATTACTTCCATTTTACGATTACAATCAAGAAAAGAACTTGTGAAATGTTTAATGAATTTTGGCCCGATCCATGATGTTATTGAAGAAGTCTTGGTATCTAAATTGTCAAAGGCAGGTGATACTCTTTTAAACAGAGAACTTGGACAGATAAGTGTTTTAAGGAAAAAGGATTGTTCAGATGTAGAATACTTGGAATGGGAGAAAATTGTCTTAGAATTTGCTTGTGAATTTCCTTTGCTGGCCAAAACTTTCTTAGCCGTCATGTTGCCGAGCCATTTATCAAGACAGTCAACACTTGATCTCCTGCCTTTGTTGATACCGAGACTTGGAGTTTTGTACGGTGTTTTGGCTCGAGGATGTGACGAGGAAGTGAGCCACGACCAACACAATACTTACGTCACTGTGGAGGACAACTCTCATGACAACAAGGTGAAGTATCTTATCGTCTTAAAAAGATTTTGAACATATGAAGATTTTTCACCCAGTTTATATCATCTAAAGATTTGCCCCCCAGCTTATTTCACCTGAAGATTAACCACTCTAATGCTACATTGAGGAGGTCAAGTTAGGTTAGGTTAGGCTAATATAATGGTATGCTGGGGTGAATCTTCAGGTGAAATAATCATGGTGAGGAAGAGGGTGCAAATTTTCAGGTGCTCCAAAGATTTTGATAAAGATTAAGATAAGGGTCACCTCTTTTTGTATTGGGATTTTTTTTTACAATCTTCACCTACGCTTCATGGATCTATTGAAGATTGGGAACCCCCTGCCTATTACACCTGATGATTAAACATCCTAATATTGAACTGGGGGGTTTAGGTTAGGTGTTTAATCATCAAATGAATTAAACCGGGATTTGTAATATTCATCAGATGTGTTTTAGAGTAAAGTTGGTATGGGTGTGTATCCTGTTGGTGATGGACTACTGTACTCTTAATGTATATATAATGTAAAATATAATATGAAGCCCTTCACTACAGGGACACTGTTTTTAATGTTTTATTTGGCCAATGCTAGACAATTTTATTCAGCTCAGAATGTACAGTACAGTATTGTGTTTCACTCTAACTGATACTGTATTTGTTTTCTTGCAGGTGTCCCGGATTGATGCTAATGAGCGCTTGAAGCAGGTTGAGGCATACCTGAAGACTGGCACACTACCTGTACTCAAGATGAACTATCATGAGAAACAGAACTTTATTCGATTTTGCGTGAAGTTCCAGTTATCTGATGATGGTGAGATATAGTTGATAAGTATTAATTGAGCTCGTGAAAAATTGGAACTCCCACTTATATGAACACCCTAATGCTACTTGGGGGGAGGTTAAGTTAGGTTAGTGCATTTAATCATCATGTGAAATAAGTGAAGGTTCCTATGAGACCTTCAATACAGATACAGTAAACTAATTTGTTATAACGTCTTTGAATAATGATGCAAACCAACCAAACCTTAACTACCTGACCTATTGATCCTAGAATATAATTTATTTTAGATAAGATGGATTACAGTAGGTTAGGTTAGGTCAGTCCATTTTGCTTTTAAATGAACTTCATGATGAAACAGCTTCTCTCTGCTGATAGCTGGCTTGTCAGATCCACATTCACAAATTTAGTGATTCATGGCAAAATATCATGTTTATTTAAACTGCACTCTTGAGTAAAAGTTGTTTAGTGGCCTGCTGTACTCCATGACATGTGGCTACCTATTGTACAGTGTGTGTGTGTGTGTGTGTGTGTGTGTATGTATGTATGTATGTATGTATGTATGTATGTATGTATGTATGTATGTATGTATGTATGTATGTATGTATGTATGTAGTAGCAATAGGTGTGTGTTCTAGTGTGTGTAGTAGTAGTGTATGTGTACTTGTGTGTGTGGTAGTATTAATGTAGAGTGGTATGTGTGTGTGTGTGTGGGTGGATGTAGTAGTAGTGTGTGTGGGTGCATATCCTCACTAAATACAAGATAACAATACTCCTACCTGCAACATCTGACTTACCGTACATATGACATTCCTACAGATATGCCACATGATTGAATTAATTTTTAACATTTCATTGAAGCATGATTCCCTTTCCTCCAGGTAAAACGCTATACTACGTCAGCCTCAAACAGACAGAAAAACGACTTGTCATCTTTCAGCAAGACATACGGGAAAAGGTTCTCGGTGAGTGCCACAGTGACCCTGACTCTGGGGGTCACCTGGGGCTGACTCGGACACAGAAGAGAGTGAGTCAGACCTACTACTGGATGAGCATCACCAGGGATGTTACTGAATGGGTAAGATAAAAAATAATTATATTTAATAATAATAACAACAATGTTACTGTACTGTATTTATTCAGTAAAATTTTTGTGTTGGTTTACAGTTGGGTAGCATGCATATAAACTATGTGGTATACAGTTTAGCCTGAATATAGATAATGTAGGTATACGGTGCCTGTAGACCATGGAAGTACCCAGTACAGTATAAAATTTCCTATAATAAACAGTAAAGGAACTTGACCAAGGATTGCCGAGAGATTATGCCAGACCTGTGCTTATTTCCAGGAGAGTCCTTTGGTTTAACTCAGATTTAAGAGTTAGTAGTGACTTAATTCTTATATGGTCATTTGTGAATCTTGTCTAATGAAATCTTATCATCACTTTATATTTTACAACATTATAGCAGATTCATCACAGTACAGTATACTGTATTATGCTCATGTTCCCTAGTGCAGTACTGTCCAAATAAAATACTAATTAACGGCATCCCTATAGTAAATGGGGTTAATATTTCCTGAACCCCTTTACATGTCAATTGTATTTGAAAGACAGATATATTTATAGAACATGAATGTACGACAGTTAAACATCTGATGGAGTTTCTGTAATGGAATTTATTTTGTGCCACCTCTTAACTGATCTGTCTGGACTTAAACTTTCTCAATTTTTACATGTGTTTATACAGACAATTATATTTTCTTGATGGCCTGAAATTTATTACTTTGTTTCCCTCAGATTAATAAGTGTCCCCAGTGTCAAAAACACAAAAATGTCTAAGACACAGTTGACTCCATGTCACCCAGTTGAAGTGGGATGAGTCCTGTGGAGGATAATTAGACTTGGCTTTGATTGGCCTTTTTTCTGAAATCTTTGAGAGGCATGCGGGAAGTTACAGTACTTCTCCCTTACCCATCAAGTGTACTGCTTTAGTGGCTGGTCCGAGTATAGCACACCACTTCGGTCCAACTAAGCATTTCATCACCAACTATAGCAGGTAGTTCATGAACACTGTGAGTACAGTATTATGTTAAAAATCAAAGAACAATTTCATAACATTAATTTTATAATGCAATGTCATCCATGCTGAATACTGTACTGTCAAATCTTGAGGTTTTACAGCAGACTTTCAAGACTGATCTGTGACCAAAACAATCTACAAGTACAGTATATTGTTGAAATACTTTTAACCTTTGATTATATAAATCTACAGTCACCAGTATCTCCCTCAGTTGTAATATATTCATTCATTTTCAGGGAACAAAGAAATTTACAAGATTTTTCACATTATCTGGACTGTGACACTGACCCAGTAAGCACATCACATGGAGGTATATCAAAGAGTATTGGGGACAGCCAGGACAACCTACAGTACTTATCAACCATTCCTAGTGTTCTCATCATGGCAGAGTATACAAGAAAGTCATCACCATTTTACCAGATGTGTGATTTCCCTCCCTGAGCACTCCACCAGCCATCTCCTGTGTTCTCATCATGGCAGAGTAAGCAAGAAGGAAGTCACCATCTTTCCAGATGTGTGATTACCCTCCCTACGCAACCCACCAGCCTGGATGCTGAGATCACCAAGCAGTCGAGTTGATTGAGTGCTAAGTGATATTGTGCTGGAAAGGTCTAAGGAGATGGCTATAGCTCAAAGGAATTTACATTTTCATAATAAAACAAACACAGTTCAAGTATTATATATGTTGGTACTCACATAAAGTTGCTTCAGTTGTCAGTTTCATTATATCATTTTTGATCAATTAGATCCCTTATCCTTATAAAGACACATGCTGTTATATTATAATGGTGTCGTTCCTGTTAGAATAATGCTAAAAAAGCCCAGCATATACCTCAGTTGGCTACAGTTAAAAGAGAAAACATAATTTATTCTAATTTAATGTGATTTCTGCTTGGGGATTTTCTTTTTAAGCATTACTTGTCTTTACAGCAGTTTATTTCATAATTTGTATGTAATTTTTCTCATTTTGATGTTTCTCAGTTGTTTTACTTTATAAAGTTTAAATTGGAACATAGAGAGGTGCAATACTCTTCTTATTTTCCTTAAGAAGAGTTATTTATGCAGTGGTTTTCAGGCAGAGGTCAAATTCAACTGCTGGAAATCCTTGCTTTCTTTAATCTTGTTCTTAGACTGCCAGGTTTGATATCACTGTAAAGTTTAATTATCATTGTCGAGTTATATTTTTTGTTTAAAGTTGTATAAAATTATTAACATGTAGAATGTCTTGTTAATTTACATACAATTTTAAGATGTGTAGAGAATGTCTTTTTGTTAAAAAACTCTGACGTTGACATGTATAGAATGAGTATTATTTAACGCAAAGTTTCGCCAGAACATATCCCACCCATTGCCATTATTTTTTATGAAATTAATTTATCCATTTATCTTTATTTTATGTGAGGACACATTATTGTCATCACCATCATCACCACCACCATCACCATCATCATCATCATCATCATCATCATCATCATCATCATCATCATCATCACCAGTGCCAGATTAAGGGGTTGGGGGGCCCTGGGCGACACCTAGCAGTGGGGGGGCCCCCTGCTGACAACTGAAAATAAGTATAGGCAATATCCAAGGTCAATAGAAACAATAAAATTAGTAATAATGACACATTTACAAATTATTTATTCCATTCATAGAAAGCGTATACATTAATTTACAAATGCACTTTTCGTGATATTTTTGTAGCAATTAAGCATATCACATTGTCAAATGGATGTTCTCTTGAAATGTCTGACTCGGTGCTTAATAGCATCAGATTGTTGAGTCTCTCCTGGCACATCGTGGTCCACAGCCTGTTTTTGATCAGTTTCATTTTTGAGAAGGAACTCTCCCCGGTAGAATTGGAGACCATTAACACCAGATATATCCTCAAAACCGTTTCTACATTTGGAAATGCTGATTGTAAGCATTACCCGGTAATGGGTTACACAGCACATATCATAGTGTCATGATAGTAGAATACATACTACCCTATCTCACGCTGGACCTACAATCCGGCACTTGCATCAGCTGTTGTACGGTAAACAAACTGATCGGCATGCCAGTGGCGCCACCAACATCATGCGGCCAGTTGTGTGGTGTGGTGTTCACTTATTTATACAACCTTTTTATTATAATCTCTGTGTTAAATAAGCTAAATCAGTTCACCAAACATGAGTTTTAGTAGGAAATATTTGTGGCGGCCGGGTGGAGTTACTGTAAGTGGTGCACAGCGAGTGTTAGGCAATCTGTTCCACTTGTTTATTACTCTGTGGTTAGGGTTTTTAAAACATTTTTTACAATGTTGTGGGCGGGCCCTAGATGTGGGGGGCCCTGGGCGTGCGCTCGGTACGCCCTCACCATAATCCGGGCCTGATCACCACCATCATCACCACCATACAATATAATAAAGAGATTAGTTTAATTTCCCAAAATAAGAATTCCTTTAATTAACCAAGAGACATTATCATGTTTGACTGTATGTAGTTACATTTAATGGTAGCTTTATCAAATACATTAAATCAACACAAAATATGCCTACCATGATTTTTAATAGCCCAAGATTATCAGTGCAACAAATACATACATGCAGACAAAAAATCCCTCCTTCAATAACAATTAAAACTGGTACTTAGAAAATAAATTTGTCCCAGTGGATCTTGTTAAGACTAGACACAAGTAAAACCAAATAAAAGATAAAATTGAGATGGAAAATGAACTACCGATGAAGGTAAGGGAGTTTAAATATAGGGAGGGAATAATGGTATGTTAAAATGGTAGCGAAGAAAGAAAACAGTCTAGAGTTTGGGAAATATTAAGGTAAGGAATGTGAGCTTAGAGTTGAAGAATTAATGGATCACCTGAAGAATAGCCACCCCAGTTTATTTCACATTAATATGAATCACTAATGCTAACTTAATCTAACCTAACCTTACTTAATTGATTCTAACCTAACCTTACATAACTTAATGTAACCTAACCATACCTGACACTATCAATCTAACCTTACATAATATTTACCTAACTTAAGTCTAACCTAACCTAACAATCTAACAGACTAACCTGACTTAAATCACCCCATGAAGATAATTTTGAAAAATTACACATAACTCGGAAACATATACAGTAGTAATTATTAATTCTGCATTTAAAAGTCTTCTCTCACATATTTTACAGACCCACACCTTAGATGATATTCACTTCACCACATTTAAAGATTAAATTTGTCAGGCATTTCTTATTACCAGAGTTAAAATTAATTGTGTTAAGAATCAACACTGGAATCATTGTAATCTTTGGGTGACAACAGGAAATTCAACAATAAGGTAACAATGATATAAATTTCTTAAACTATATAGTATACTGTACTGTAGTTGGTTTATGCTGTATTAAGCACAATCATACTACAGTATACACTATATTACTAACATTTCAAATGAGCAGAAAATCAAGAATTTAGGTACTGTTACTATTCTAAGATAGTCTTTGGGTACCGTATGTACAGTACATGCAAGATCGAGAAAACACATCGTTATGAAATATAAACTTATAAAAAAGCTAATACAAAATAAAGAAAAATAAATTTGTTTATTAACTGGCTTCTGGGGTTGACTTTGTATAGGAGCAACTCTCAACTTTTTACCTTTTTACCCCAATACTGTACTGTACCATTATTTATTCATATACATACAAACCAACTTAAATTCAAAGATAAAATTAGGCTGGATCTTTTTTGTGTTAAATTATAATGGTTGGTGTGTCATAATGGTGGTCCGCCATATTGAGAGTTGAGTGACAGGACAGAGTGGATCACCATGAAACATTCTAAACCTGATCGGTAAGTTTTTTCCTATTTGAGTACGATATAATCCTTTCTACTTATGGGAATCATCTCTAAGAATGCCCATGGGGTATTTTTATTAGGAAATTCCTCTTCTTTTGTGTTATTTGAAGATAGAAATGTTTTATTAGCCCGGGTGGAGACCAGTAATGAAAATAATTAGAACGTCTGTAGTTCACTTTTCATTATTTTGCTTTCATTATTATCCTCGCTCTCTATATTTATATACAACTTCAAGGATATTAAGTTGTTTTCCCTCCCTCCATCTTTTTTTTCATCTAACTATTTTTAATAATGTTTCAATTGTATTTTTCACCTTTTCCAGTCACAACACATTTAAGTTAACCCTATTTTTTTCCAGTTAAGTTTTCTGGTACATTATGAGTAAGTTATGTCGTGTGTATTCTTTTATTATTATTATTATTACAATATCAGCTGAAGAATCTCCACCCCAGTTCTCAAACCCGCCCACATTCACTTTTTATATTATTTCAGGTTTCTGGGCAAGCAGAGTATGTACAAAATCGCAGCCGAAATAAAGTACCCACCCAGTATCACTATCAAATTATTTAATCTATTTGGACGCAATATCTATAAATTTTTCGACGGTGTAGAAGCTCCTCGCCAACTGTCGGTACTTACCAACACCCACAAGGTAGGAGACTAATTCCACACTCGTTTTTCCTTTACCTATGATGTACTATTGCTCTGTTCCTGTTTCACATACGTATTCCATACTTGTGTCTCCAGGACCTTCTTCCTCAATATGTTAAAAGTGGTCGTCGTCAGGCTGGTTGGGGAAATATATCAAGGAATTGTGGGTTTAAACTTTAATGATAGAAGCATGGAATTTGGTACATGCTTAGAGGAAGGCAGGGTCAACATTTTGGGCTATAGGATCATCTCAGATCTGTCCCATGAGTGCTGTGACAGCCATTTTTCATTGCGATTATTATTAAATACAGTTCCCTACTTATAAGCATAGATTCGTCAACAGTTTGGATTCAGAATATAAGTAACCAGTACTATTAAATCTTACTTATTTTGAAAAATAATAAACATCTTGTATGAGCTAATGAGTCAGTTTTTTATCATGTTAAAGTAAACTGTTGTGCTTTATGAATAGCAAATATTTTCAAAGGCAACAAAAATTCAATAACATTAACACTTGTTTTTAACACCATTCACCATAAACTTGAAACAGCAATCACCACAAACCTGTAAAAACATTCATTTTAATCAACAGAATTCAACATTAAACTGAAACAGACATCTCTCATAGGTTCGAATCCTCAGGTAGTAGGTAGTAGGCAGCTCCCAAACAGGGAGGTACTACCGCCTGGGAAAATATTGGAAGCATAATGTGTTGTCTAATGGTAGACCCTGCTGCCATATGGCATCACGAAAATTGTGACCAAGTCCCAGGTTGCTGATCTGACTTTTTGCCTCATTTACACACAATTGCAGTCTCAATTGTTACTCTTACTTTGAAAACACATTTATAATATATTGTTTCCCACAATTGATTTTATTTTTATTTTTGTATTTCCTTATGGTTTATTATTATTATTATTATTATTATTATTATTATTATTATTATTATTATTATTATTATTATTATTATTATTTTTATTTTACTATTATTATTATTATTATTATTATTATTATTATTATTATTATTAGTATTAGTATTAGTATTAGTACAGTATTAGTATTACATTTTCGCCCCCAGACCCTGATGTGGGTCAGTGACCTGTGCCCAGGTGGGCTAATCCCGGTAAAAAAAAATAAGAAAAAAATAAGAGGCAACCGGAATGCCTTATCTCAAATTATCATCATCGGGTGCGACTGACCAGCCACCCTGGTTCAGTCTCAAACCTTTTCTCACCTCACTCATACGGGAAAAGGCGTAATAGTTGTAAAAAAAATCATTACTGTTGTGTTCTTAGATTAACTGCACATACAGCAAAAAATAACAAGATGACTAACAGTTCGGCATAAATCAGTTAATAATCAAATATTGGGACAACTCGGCTGCAATGTGTCAACTTATAGTTATAGAAAATACAGAATACATTTAAATTGGATGTTGAATAGGTGAAAAACGCCAATAATCAATTCATAATTTTGCATTACTGTACAAGATTGACCTACTGTATTCACGGTCACAGGGTTCCACATAGACAAAGAGCAGTACACTGTAGAGCAGCCTTCACACATTTACATTGCTCCCTGCATCCCTTCTTGCAGCCACAACGAAGTAGTTCCTGGCAGGCGTGAGAAGCATCGGAAAGAGTTTTCCATTTCACTTCTCAACTTCCATCATCTTTTTGCGTCCTACCCCATCCACCAGGGGATGGAAGCGAGGGAACAGCTACCAACATCTGTGTCCAGATATAACCTGCTTGGCAGGCAGCTCTCTTAGTATGCTCCAAAAGTGCATCTTGTGTTGGGGGAAGGCCATCCTTAGATCTGCCTTTTTGAGAAAACAGCTGCTTACGGGCCTCGTTCACCCCCACTGCACTTCTAGCGCGATCATAGAGGAGCGCAACAAAGCTCTCCAGCACCCCCAGGTGGTCCTCAACAGAACTAGGAGTGGATGCCAAAGCCCAGAATGCTGGTGTAGCCTCGTCAAATGCTTTCCAAACTTCCCACACAGTCCTCTTGCCTCTGCCAACAAAGGAAGAGACAGTGTCACATCCACTGAATGCGTGAAGAAAAGGCAAGGCTTTGCATTTCTCAGGCCCAGCAACAAACAGATGACAGATATGGTGAACTGACAACAGACAGATGGCTGACATGAGGAACCAACAGACAAGTTGAGCATACCTGCATTCTGTCTGCATTACCGATGACATGAGCTGACAGTTTGATTTATTGGTCCCTTGAAGCTTTGGAGGAACTGGATCTTACCACCAGTCTGCCTGACTATTGAAACTGTGAAGAGCGAAAGGATTCTCTCTCTCTCTTTATCTCTCTGGGTCTCTCTCCTTATCTCCGTCTCTCTCTCTAATCAAATTGGTTTCCATCAATATTCTTCAATAATTTCTTTTCCTAATGGATTTAGATTCACACAAGGACATTGTCGGCAGGAGGGGAATTAAACATTTTTCAATATTATACATGTACTAGGAATTAAATGGCACTAAACTCCCCAGATACTGTATTTTTTTTTAATAATTTACCTGTCGTTCGTTTGGTAGGGGTTAACAAAACCGAGATTATCAACAGAACAGAAATCAATTGCATGATGTTTGTCGTATTTGTTCCCTCTTCAATTTATTTTTCTTCATGGTCAGGTAAAACGCGAGAAGTTAATGCAGATGCTTTGGAGTCTTGGGTTAATGATAGATGCCGCGTCTTGGTGTTTCAAGGCCATTGTTGTCTACGCCAGACCCAGGAACCTGAACTTAGAAGACAACGTATATTACCATGCTGGCTTCTACACACCACAGGTCAGTGACAGGTGTTTTACTATATCAGGGCCATACAACAGGTTAGTGACAGGTGTTTTACTATATCAGGGCCATACAACAGGTCAGTCACAGGTGTTTTACTATATCAGGGCCATACAACAGGTCAGTGACAAGTGTTTTACTATATCAGGGGCGTACAACAGGTCAGTGACAGGTGTTTTACTATATCAGGGCCATACAACAGGTCAGTCACAGGTGTTTTACTATATCAGGGCCATACAACAGGTCAGTGACAGGTGTTTTACTATATCAGGGCCATACAACAGGTCAGTCACAGGTGTTTTACTATATCAGGGCCATACAACAGGTCAGTCACAGGTGTTTACTGCTCTCTATGCTTGTATAAATTATGATATAGCTCTCACTTTTTTATACCGTGTTCAGGTTAATATAATGTAATACCTTCAACTTATTCACAGTCCCATTTAATATTTTTTAACTTGTCTGTGTGTCTGTGGAATTTAATATCCTCCAATTATATGCAGTAGTATTGATTTTTACAGCTGCTATGTATAAGTGGAATGTATCATAGATTTACTGTATATCATGTATGTCAGTATGTATTATGAATTGTTTGTATATTATGAATACAGTAGTTAGCTAATACTGTATTAATACTGGTTCTATTAGTTTGAAACCTGGACGGCGATCTCGTCGGATGAATTGCCAGAGTGGGTAATGCTAACCTCACCACCGGTACTCGGCAAAACTACAGTCTCACCCCCCAAGCTCTTGCCACCGTGGAGACAGAGAGCTACACAGGCGGAAGACCCAAGATCACTCACGCATTCCAAAAATAATGAAACAAGCGATCAAGAGAGTTCATCCTCCTCCTCCCCCTCCTGCTCCTGCTCCTCCTCCCCCTCCTGCTCCTGCTCCTGCTCCTCCTCCTCCTCCCCTCCCTCCTCCTCCACCTCCCCCTCCACCTCCTCCCCTCCACCTCCTCCTCCACCTCCACCTCCTCCTCCTCCCCCTCCACCTCCTCCTCCTCCTCCTCCTCTCTCCTCCTCCCCTCCTCCTACCTCCTCCTCCTCCTCCTCCTCCTCCTCCTCCTCCTCCTCCTCCTCCTCCTCCTCCTCCTCCTCCTCCTCCTCCTCCTCCCTCCTCCTCCCCCTCATCATCACCATCATCATCATCATCATCATCATCATCATCATCATCATCATCATCATCATCATCATCATCATCATCATCATACAGACGCCCTGAGAAGGATCACCTGGATGCACCACGATGTTCACATAGGAAGAAGGAAACATTGTACTTACGTATGCCAGTAATTGCAGAACAAGGTCACGAAGGAAAAGTTTACAAGTCAAGAAGATCGATCAAAAATATTAACAGAAGCTATATACGCGTTTGGAATATTCGACGGGGTCTCACAAAAGTTAAAGACACTGGGGCATACTTTCGGAAGTGTCAACTGGGTCTCAACAAATGTAAGAGAACCGGGATAAACAATTGCAAGGGTCGACCAGGTCTTCCATCAAGGAAATATAAAAAAAAAGGTCCCAACGTCACGAAAAAAAACACGCAGATCCCACAGAAGATGGCGTTAGAGTTTGAGAAGGCCCCACAACCCATAGTAAAGGAAGATGAGAGTACCACCCGGATATCGCAGGAGCCAAGAATGTTTCAGCCTACCACAGAGGCACAATACCGTCCCACACAATCATACGATCCCTTAGAGATTGACAAAATCCTCACCCAGTCAGACCTGAAATCTCACGTAATGGATTTGCAGTCGGAACTAGTGAAAGAAATTTTGAAGTTGGTTGACGGGTCCGATGACTCACACGTGTCCAACGACTCACAGAAAAAAGACATAAAGCCAAGTAACTCTCTCGAAAAGGCACATCAAGAAGACATAGAGGCACGTGAAGAAGCCAGACAGGCACGTAAAAAAGCCAAACGGGCACGTAAAAAAGCCAAACGGGCACGTAAAGAAGCCAAACGGGCACGTGAAGAAGCCAAACGGGTACGTAAAGAAGCCAAACAGACAGACAAAGACAAACAGACACATAAAGAAGACAAACAGACACATAAAGAAGACAAACAGACATGTATAGAAGACAAACAGACACATAAAGAAGACAAACAGACATGTAAAGAAGACAAGCAGGAACATAAAGAAGCCAATCAGGCACGTAAAGAAGCCAAACGGGCAGGTAATGAAGCTAAACAGAAATGTAAAGAAGACAAACAGGAACATAAAGAAACCAATCAGGCACGTAAAGAAGCCAAACGGGCAGGTAATGAAGCTAAACAGAAATGTAAAGAAGACAAACAGGAACATAAAGAAGCCAATCAGGCACGTAAAGAAGCCAATCAGGCCCGTAAAGAAGCCAGACAGGCACGTAAGAAAGCCAAACTGGCACGTGAAGAAGCCAAATGGGCACGTGAAGCCAAACAGACAGACAAAGACAAACAGACACATAAAGAAGACAAACAGACATGTAAAGAAGACAAGCAGGAACATAAAGAAGCCAAACAGGAACATAAAGAAGCCAAACAGGAACATAAAGAAGCCAAACAGACAGGTAAACCACGCGAGCACTCACGATGCACCTTACAGTCGAAGCTGTTAAACTCACTTTTGAAGAAGGCCGGCTTGACCAACGAAGAACTCCGTGCATTGGCCAGTGAGAAAAAAATGTACTTAAAAAAACAGGTCACACGAAAGCTCGTCAGGTTTCTCATTGGTGTATATTATTATAATGTTCGCCAGAGGTATTTTAAAAAGAAGATCAGGTTTCGCTGGTTTAGGGAGCTGATGTTCAACAATAGGCTTCAACAAAACATCGACTGGTGTGATTGGATAACCGCGGCCAGGTCTTCTGCATGGTCCCATCTAGTGAGGACCTACAACTGGAAAAAATACGTTGAGTATACCAAGACGAACCCTGATCCTAGGATACCAGAGTTCGATGGGGACAGAAGGTTGACGCAGCCCAGGTTACCCTCGCCAGATGACACAGCTCCTCCAGAACGCCCAATCTACTGCATGTACTACGGTTGCCAGGTCAGTTAATTTGTCCTAAAATCAATAACTCCCGATTTTCTTTGATTTTGGGAAGCACCAGATTTAAGTAAAAATGTTCTTGGGTCCAGTTAATTTTTTTCTTTAACTTAAACTCTAAAATGTGGTTAAAATTCTCATAAGCTTCGATTGCTATTTGTTATGGAATAGACCTAGTAAATGTAATTCAGCTTTGTACTAACTTAATTTTCTTCCTTAAACTAGGATAAGCCATGTAAAAATAGTTAAACTTTACGGTGTTCTTGCTGTTTACTTTATATATGGGATATACTTGATATAAATGACTACACTGTTATGGGTGGAAGTTAGTTGATTATTTACTTTGTGTTTGTTGCAGGGAGCGTCGGGGATGCTACCGGTGTTGGCCCTGGCACCAGAGAAAGGTTCGTCAGTGCTCGACCTCTGTGCTGCAGCTGGACACAACACCATTCTTGCTGGTTCGTTTTCATTCACACCATAACATCACTACATGCTTAAGTTTTACCGCATTACAACCGCTTCCACTGCTTGCTAGTCTCTTAGGAGGCATATTTAGAGGTAAATTATAAATATTTAAAGGTAAAATAGTGGCAACAGCCACTAGAAGTGAGCCATGACATCGTCCCGAACCTTCGAAGCTGCCGGACTATCGGGTCCCAGATTAGCAGGGTCCAATATTTTGGAATTCTATTTTCAGGGACCAGGGAGCTGGATGGGAAGGCGCATACAAGACCACCGTACTGTAACTTCCAGGCTGTATTGGTATATATTATTACAGGTTATATTTGAGGTTTATTTGATTCTCTCTTAATCTAGAAGGTAATACTGTAGATGGACACTGGGAACATCGGGAAATGTGTGATGGAATTACGACACTGTTGCAGGGATGTTGATGATAACGTTAATGTTGCAGGGATGTTGATGATAACGTTAATGTTGCAGGGATGTTTACGAAGAGGCAGGGTATGGTGGTGAGTAACGTGCTAGTGATGCAGGACGAAGCTGTCATCCAGAACAACATTCATCGCCACTGTTTCCTAAACGCCATCGTTGTTCGGATTGATCTTCAACAGCTTCCACAGGTGATGAGTGTGTGTTGGTGAATTGGTGTATGGCGACCTGTGGTGTAAGGATCAGCATTCTCGCCTCGCAAGCGAGCAGACCCGGATTCGATCCCCGGCAGGGTGAAACTATGGGCAAGTTTCTTTACGCCATTTGCCTCTGTCCACCCAGCAGTAATGGGGAACCTGGATGTTAATCGATTTGCCGATCGTATTCCGGGGTAATGGTTAGCCAGTGCAGTTGGGAGTTGTCCGGTCTTCTCGGACTCTTCCTTGACACTGGGTCATGCAACTCGTTAACTTAGGGGGTGGTTGGTGTATTGGCGACAGCTTTTACACCTTAAACAATTCACGCCTAGGTGGTCCTTGGGCCAGCCATCCTCGTTACATGAGGGTCAACCATTATTATCATCCATCATGTATGTATGTGTGTAGATGAGTGTGAAGTTTGTTTAGATTATTGCCAGTATGTGTTGGTGAATTATAATTTGATATTTTATTTCATGGATCAGACCTCTGAGTTCTTCGATTTTCTGGCCGCAACTCCTGGGTCATTACAGCCTTGTAACCCAGTCCAATATTTCAGGGAATGCGAGAGTCGTTTGGATATGCCCTGGTGGACGCCCCTTCCTCGGGTACCGGGTGTGTCAGAAGTTTTGAGAGGGACGACTGGCCACAAAACGATATTGAGCAGGTTGATGTCTGCGTCAAACTCCAGAAGGTCCTTATTCTTGACGCTATTGATGCACTCCAGGTTGGTGGGTACCTCGTGTACTCCACAACCTCTGTATTGGTGAGTGTTATGGCCGCGCTTCTCTTTACTAAACCCTTGTTCATAGTCCGCCCCTTGTTCGGCCTGAATCCATCGTGTCATCGAACCCAGTCTTTGTTTAAATCAAGTGCGTTAGTCGATCCAGCCCTTACAAACACTCAGCCCTCACTCACACCCAGCCCTCACTCACACCCAGCTCTCACTCACACCCAGCCCTCACTCACACCCAGCCCCTCACTCACACTCTCAGCCCTCACTCACACCCAGCCTCACTCACACCTCAGCCCTCACTCACACCCAGCCTCACTCACACCCAGCCCCTCACTTACACCCAGCCCTCACTTACACCCAGCCCTCACTCACACCCAGCCCTCACTTACACCCCAGCCTCACTTACACCCAGCACCCAGCCCTCACCACACCCAGCCCTCCTCACTTACACTCAGCTCACTTCACTCACACCCAGCCCTCACTACTCACACCCAGCCCTCACTTACACCCAACCCTAGGTCACACCCAGCCCTCACTCACACCCAGCCCTCACTCACACCCAGCCCTCACTCACACCCAGCCCTCGGTCACACCCAGGCCTCATTACCACCCTCATTCACCACCTAGAAATTGCTGCACCTTTGTACCAAGTATTAAATTTTTGTATCAGCACCCATGGTAATTACTGTACCTTTACTTGTAATAATGAACTTAATTACACTTTCTAATCGTCATTCCGAAACCGTGATTGAATTCTGATTATTATTCCGAAACCCCTTTTTGTACTCTGATTATTATTCTGAAACTGATTGTATTCTGACTACATTTCTGAAACTGATTGTATTCTGACTACATTTCTGAAACTGATTGTATTCTGACTACATTTCTGAAACTGATTGTATTCTGACTCCATTTCTGAAACTGATTGTATTCTGACTACATTTCTGAAACTGATTGTATTCTGACTACATTTCTGAAACTGATTGTATTCTGACTACATTTCTGAAACTGATTGTATTCTGACTCCATTTCTGAAACTGATTGTATTCTGACTACATTTCTGAAACTGATTGTAGTCTGATTATCATTCTCAAACTATGACTACAGTATTTTTGTTCGCCTCTCTCCCCCACAGGTCGAGGAGAACGAGGCTGTGGTGAGCTATGCGCTGTCTGAGAGGAACGTCATGCTGGTGCCCATTGATTTGCCATTCGGTAAGGCTGGCTTGGTCACCCACCAGGATTATAGGTGAGTCTGACTGGCTTATGGTAGTTTTGGAGGCGAGTCTGACTGGCATTTGGTAGTTCTATTAAATTATCTTCCGTTACCTTGATTCTGTTAAATAATATTCCTTTACCTTAAATCCGTTTATAATATTTTTTTTTTCCAATCTCTCTTCTCTTCGTTTCTATGAGTAAAAAAAAATATACCTCCTGTCATAAATTTAACATGTTTTTATTTAATTTCTTTGTAAATCTTAACAGTAAAACACAATCCACAGGTTTAGGGAATCTATGAAGAGCTGTAGAAGGATCTATTCTTTCCGTCACAACATCCAGGGTATATTTCTCGCCAAAATGAGGAAACTGAGCCCCGGAGAATCACACTGAGAGGGAGGGAGGGTGAGGGATGACAGGGTGAGGGGGATATATTGATATTGAAACAGTTTATTTAGCCAGATGAACACAGATATAAAGTCGATTAAAGATCATAATATTAACATGGCTGAGTCAGTTGAGAACCTGAGCTCTCTTGTGGGCACCTGATATATATTGTACATTTATCTCAAGGAAGTATTACGTAACATTTATTATCATCTGGAATAGTACACATAATATGGTGGTAGTAAGAACATATCAGAATGTTACCACGGTTATCACTTTGATATTTATTTATTTTATTTTATTTTATTTATTTTTTATTTTTTATTTTTTTTTTATTATAAGTAGATTCATAATTTACAGTGGAATTGAAAAACATAAATATAGTAAGGGAGAGAAGCAGTACAACATGTGTTATGTTAAGGTGGAACAAAAGGACAGAGCTGTCAGGATTATGTCTAGTTGGCAAATATATTTATTACAATGGTAATTTCTATCTATCTACATGATAATTCCTGATAAAACGGTTTTGGTGGTACAATAAAAGCAGGTATAAAAAGTTGGTACCGGGGTATTACAAAAATATTAATACTTAAACAATATATTTTTTTTTAAGAGATGATTTAAAGGAAGGGAGCGTAGTCTTTGCTCGGATGGGTGGGGGTAAGTTGTTCCACACCTTCACACCATGATATTGTATGGAGATCTGGGACTGAGAGGAGAACACTGGGGGTGGTCTTAGTAGCTCTGGGTGTCTTAAGTTGTATCTCTGATTATTCCGGAACTGGAAATAATTATTGTCAAGTAAGTGATTGATTGATTTGTAAACCAATAGGGAACAGCAGTAGGTGTTAACATCCTCGAATTTTTTAACATTTTCAATGAAGCAAATTGTTCGTTTGTGTGATCAGTTTTTTTTTCAAGTAGGCCATTGTCCGCACAACTCTCTCTTGTGCAGGGAGGGAGGAGGGGGTAGTGACATGCTCTGAGTCTTAATGGTCAAGATGAAGGGAGTCTCTGGGTGCTTTTCTTCTGCTTGTGGTAGTGACTTTTTTTTATTTATTTCCTTAATGGTCTTTATTGTTTTGGTCAGGTTAGGTTGAGTTATGTTTGGTGGAGTGAGGGTAGGTTAGGTTAGGTTGGGTTAAAATAGGTTAAGTTTAGTTAGGTTAGGTTTGGTTAGGATAAGTTAGGTTAAGTTAGGATAGGTTAGGTAAACTTTTAAGTCAAATAATCTGGAGTAGAGATTCTTTGGGTGATCCGTTTTTAGTCATGTGAGGTACACTGATGGAGGAGTACTCAAGGACTTTATTTCACTAAGCTATAAATCCTCACTAAAGACAAACAGTAAAATAGAAAGATTTTTAAAGGCAAGGAAAATAAAATACATCTTTATATTAATTTTACAGCACTAAGGATGTTTAGAGTACAACCCAAAATTTTTTTATCAATATCTTAAATTTGTAGTTGAAATTTTCGTGTTTATCCTCAATGTATTTAATTTTCTAGCTGTTTATTTTATGTAATCTCAATAAAACGCTTCGCTGACCTTATTACAGTAAAAAATGTATGTAATCTCAATAAAACGTTTCTCTGGCCCATATTACAGTAAAAAATGTATGTAATCTCAATAAAACGTTTCTCTGACCTTATTACAGTAAAAAATGTATGTAATCTCAATAAAACGTTTCTCTGACCCATATTACAGTATAGTTTATTTTATGTAATCTCAAAATCTCAATATAACGTTACAGTATAGTGCAGTGTATTATCGTAGTTGGAATAAGTATATATTGTAGTGGATGCCATTCTGTTTTCCTCGTCTATGATACCAAATCCATTCACGTAGGGAGGTATAGTATTGGGTGGGTGAAGAGGTGGAGTGATTACATTTATTGTACTGTATGTAAATAAAGCTGCTATTGTGTGGAAATTTGTTTGTAAGTGTGTGTATATGTATGTTTATTCGCACACGCACAGTTACATACAGATACACAAAAGTCACATACATACATACATACATACAGTACATACATACATACATACATACATACATACATACATACGTACAGCCTCCCCCAACTAATACTACTTTGCTGTCACTCGGAATCAAGTATGACGATCATCCAGCTATGATACAATATGAGTTATTAAGGATACCTAGGATGGTGAGTTTTGAGGTGACTATAGAGGCCGATACGGGACCGGCAGAGTAGTTTACAGATGTTGCACATGTGGAGGGCTACATCCAGTGCGGGATGGGCGGTGGCAGCGTCTTTCCGGCGTTGGCGCTTGTCTGCCTCGGTTTGCAGTCGGGTTAACTCGAAAGTATTGACACCTTTTCAGGTTGCCCGCCTGCTTTACGTTTACTATTCGTTAGGTGACTGTAAAGTAGCTGCTTTGGCAGTCTACTGTCCTCCATGCGGGTAACATGGCCAGTCCAGCGTAGTTGTTCATGGATAATGGTAGCCTCGATGCTCCTACAGTTGGTGTCAGCAAGAATACTGGCATTTGTTCTCTTGTCTTCCCAGCGAACACGGAGGATGGAACGTAGACTACGTTGGTGAAAGTTTTCAAGTGCCTTGAGTTGTCTCCTGTATGTGACCAATGTCTCGTTACATTTAGCAGGGTGGGTAGGACCACTGCTCGATGTACGTGTAACTTTGTAGATAATTTCAGCTCCCTACAGCTAAAGGCACGGTTTCGGAGTCTGCCAAAGGCTTGAGATGCACATCTAATCCGATGCTGAATCTCTTCATCGATGTCTGCGGTGGTGGACAGGTGGGAGCCGAGATACCGAACGTGGGTAGCATTAGGGAGGGTAGTACCGTTAAGCTGGATGGATGGTGGAGGTGTGCATACGCATCTGCGTAGGTGTTCAGGATCTCCTGTAGGTCGTGTTCAGTGTGAGCAACAAGGGTGAGGTCGTCTTCATACTGAAGTTCAGTAATGGAAGCTGCAGACACCTTTGTTCTTGCCTGGAGCCTTCTTATGTTGAAAAGACCCTTCATCTGGTACTCAATGTCCACCCCGCTGGCTAAATTGGCACTGGCACGAGTAAGGAAGGCAGCCAAGAAAATGGAAAAGAGAGTTGGTGCCAGTACACACACACACACACACACACACACACACACACACACACACACACACACACACACACACACACACACACACACACACACAGTCACCAAAGCCAATAATCAGGTTAAGGTAAACACAGTTAGGGTCAAAAACCAAGTTGGTAATTACGCCCACCACAGGTAGACCAGGAGGGGGTTTAGGCAAGACCCCTGAGCTAGGTACTCCTGTGTCTTGAGGCTGGTGATGCTCGGCTGATAGTTCCTGATGACCGTCTGATACACATCTGTCCATTTCCATCACTCACTGTTACTCAGCATATCTGTCTTCCTACCTCAGCGACCTATAGTCATTCTGGGTGTATCAGGTAAGTTGCCTTGGTATGATCCGATGCCTGGATTGTCTTTTATCAATAACTAAATCAGATATCAATAACATTAAAATTCAGAGTGACGCATATTGGAAAAAAAAATCTGGGCTGGAGATTCTTCAAGTGATTCCATCCATATAACTACAGTAAAGTAAAATTGACGTAAGGACATTAATTTATTCTCTGTGAAATGTGGTTGTAACCTATCAATTAATTTTTATCTAACACAAAAACTAACAAAATAAAGTTAAAAAAAAAAAACACTTGCTCAGAAAAGTCAATTGAGAAATAATGCCTCACACATTAACCCGTGTTTAGGTAATGACATGTGCGCCTGATCACACGAGTACGTAGAGAAGCATTATGTCAGTCACCCACACCTAGCACAGTGTTTACGCGGTGAGGGAGACTTCGGCAGACAACAACAACAGCGCTGAAGGTAATCCTTGGCTGAGAGGATTACTACGGTTAACCCGGCCTGACAGCTCTGAGATGGTGGAAAAATGAGGGAGATGGTGGAGAGGTGAGGGAGATGGTGGGGAGTTATGGGAGATGGTTGGGGAGTTAAGGAATATGGTGGGGAATTAAGGGAGTGGTAGGGAATTGAGGGAGATGGCAGGAATTGAGGGAGATGGCAGGAATTGAGATAGTGGGAATTGAGGGAGATGTCGGAATTTATTTTTTTATTATACAACTTGTCACTGTCAGCTTCAGTTGCGCCGAGATTGTGTGCTTTCATTGTGTTGTTTCCACTGAACGAGAACCACAGTGCAGACCTCGGATTTTTTTCACACCGCTCCAACACGAAGAATTCTTACTATTTAGTTATTTATTTATGTTTGAAAACTTTTATAACCAACACATGTAAAGTAAATATCCACGTTATATTAATTGTATAAACCTTTAATGAGCCGTTGGCCTTAACTAGCACTAAGAGTGAAACATATAGTTAATGAGTTAATGACCTGTTAGTAATTGGGCTCTCCACCTGTTATCCTGAGGCTCGTGCTGACTCATTACTCGAACATGGACAACCTCAGAAGCCAGCAGTTAGACCTAACAAGCTCTTGCACCATATATTTTCGTTGTGTTTTACCGACCGGGAAATTAAAGCATAGGATTTACGCTGTGACGATTCGATGACTTTATTCGATTACCCTGTTGCTCTAGCCAATAAGAATAAAGCTAATTTTCTGAAACAAGATATGATTGGTAGAGGCGCGTGTGGGAGCCATGAGTAGCCCCGCCTCCGAGATGCTCCGCCCCTCAACAGGTGCTCAGCGGCTACCTGAAGTCCGTCAGTTGATGTCTCGGAAGCTTAGTGGACGAGTGTGTGAACTGACGCGGGATAACTTTCATGACATACTGACGCCATTTATCCGTGCATATCTTAACTCCTTATAGATATCACAGCAGTGTTAAAAACTCTTGAGCTATGATGTGAAAATACATGTGATTATCTGGACTTAATTGATATATAAGAAGAACAGGACTATTGTGAGATTATTACAGGTAAGTTACGTGCGCTACAGTTTTTACAGGTGAACACTAAGTTATTGAA